TCTCTGGTTGGGATCCCTTGCATCCTACAATTGCACAACAGAAGGATTTAGTATGGGCCAGAAAATTGTGTTTTAGCATGTAGTGTTTCTTAAACCAAAAGCTAGTACATAAAAGAACATATTTAATTTCATTTTATTTATTTATTTATTTTAAAGAGAGGCAGGGGGCAAGACAAGGAATTAATTTAATCTAAGCAATGTGGATTCCCTGAGCATGTAAAAAAACTGAAATGACAGGCAGAGAGGACAATGGATTCATTCAGTTTCTTCTGACGAGATTTGTATCATCATTAAGTTTAGGACTTCATTTGCATCTCAGTCCTGTAACAACCAGCTTATGCGCACTTGGCAGAAATGCATGCCTGATTTCCCTGACACAGAGAACTTTTAGAGCCTTGCTGGAACCCAAGCCCACAGTCCCATCCTGCTTCTCTCTCCCCTGTTTATAGTCTGCCTCCTCCTCTCCACACCCCAAACACACAAAATTTTCTACACTCCAGCTGTGAATCACATACAAGGTCTGTTTTCCAAGTAGGTTTTGATATACGTTGCATAAGTGTGGTTGACAAAGTAATAGGCATGGTAATTGAATTATAAGATGGATGGTAGATGACAGCCTGAGATTACCAAATCTAGTGACATCACCTGTCTGGATTAGGTGGGGCCTTAGACTTCATTTCTTGCTGTTAGGAAATATTGTGATTATCTGATTTGTGACAGCAGGTAAATAACTGTAGTGTGAAGATTAATAACTAACAGGACTAGAAGAGAAATCCTGCTGAAACAGTATCCTGAGATATGGTTTCATTTTAGTTTACAGACTGAACACCCTTTGTTTAAAAATATATTTTTTACTTTTTTTTTTTTTTAGTTTCCTTTATTTATTTTTTTCCCTTCCCCTTTCTCCTTTTAGAAACAACATCAAAATCATAACCCCAGACAAGGAAATTTTATTTCCTTTTTTTCTTTGTTTGGGGGTGGGGGGTGAGGTGTCATTTTTTTGGGGAGCTTCTTGGCCAAAATGAAGTGTTTGTTCAATATATAACAATGAATTCTGTCCTTGTTCCCACTGTCATACCTGACTGGCCACTGTATTTCCCTCATGCCTGCCACTCCCTGGCAGGGCTGGTCTCCCCAGCTGTGCTACCCTCTCACAGCTGTGCTGCAGACCCAGCACTGAGTGGCACCTTTCCACCCTTGCCAGCAGCCTGCAGCACAGAAGAGCTGGTCCCAGCCCACAGCACAGCACAGTGGGGAGGTGGAAGTAGGAGAAGGCTGAGGACAGCTCTTGGGAGGCACTGCAGCCACGTTCCAGATGAACATAGTTGTGCACTGGCCAGAACGGTCATGCTCTGGGCTCCTTTGCTGTGAGTCGGAGAATTTCTAGGTGAAGAACTGGTGGCTCAGATCCAGCCCTGCAGTTACATTTGGGCTCAGCGTTATGCAGAACAGTGTGTCTGTAAACTCAAGGGCTTGAAGTTAATTAAGTGTAAAACTGTTTGTGTTTTGGGAGGATTTAGATTGTTGCGATGGGGAAAGTTAATTGTAGATAGCAGAAGCCTTAGAAACTTCCAGATCCACCCATCTGATAACAAATCACAGACATTAGCTATGAATTTGCAATGTCATTACAGCAATAAGAAAAGACATTGTTCAGATTGTGTTCACTTGATAAATCATGCCAAAGTTCTCAATAATGCTAAGTGTCTGTGTGGAGATTATCATTATGGTAAACAGTACAAAACTGGACAGCTAGAATGCTTCATTCCTTTCCTATGTCACAGTCACTTCATCCTTGCCAGCGAATGTGTTTTCTTTTTTCATAATCTTATATTGCTTAGCCTCAAATTGGAAATCTCTTCTCCACATATTTCAGCACATAGAATTTATATCATCAGATATCTCCATGAGCTGGCCAAGTTTGATGCATTTCAGGTATTGCAAAGCCTAATGGGCCCTTGGGGAGAGAGACTGGCTTGCCAGGTGGCATAGAGAATGAGAAAAAAAAAAAAAAAAAAAAAAAAGACAGAGCGAGAGAAAAGCTCCTAAAAGGAAGGGAGTAGCTTTTGCAAGCTTATTAAAGCAGTCTTTGTCACTAACCTTATCTCTGCACTTCCTGGCTCTGGCCAGGTTGGGAAATGAGAAGCAGAAAGGCAAAACACTTCCTCCTGACTTTGTTTCCTGTGATTTGGGATCAAAGCAATGTTCAGAACAAGGGTGTCTCCTGGTTGAGGAAAACTCCTGGTCTACACAGCTCAAAGGACAGAATCTGTGTCTACTTCCTAGCTGAAAGCCCACACAATTTACTATATCTTTTGAGATCCCCTTTATCTCCAAAGTGAGCTGAGATTTTCATGACTGAGGCAGCACTTGATGATGATGAAACTAAAAAAAGCTTAAGGCACTTTAACATTTTTCCTTGAAGTCGCCAGTTTGGTTTGCTGTCACACACAGTCTTGTTCTATCCCCTTTTTCCTACTGTTAGAGCAAATGAATGGATATCCTTCACAACCTTAGAAAAATCTTTCTCATCTGTTAATACCTTTCAAAACATCTTCTTAACTTTGCAAAGGGAAGGAAAACGGATAATCATCCAGTACACTGAGGAAACAGCCATTTAAACCATGCCCACATGCTCAGTTATATGTCATGAATGACAAATACTAAGTTAGTTATGAGGTCCAAAATCTGGCCCTAGGTTTAAAGTATTTGTCCAAATGCTAAAATAAATCTATGGCAGTAGTAGAGATGGGATGCTGCTTTTCTGACAGGGATTTAACAGAGTCTATAGGGGGAAAAACAAAAACAAAAACAAAAACAAAAGGGGTGTGTGTGTGGAAGGAGGGTTGCTTGTGTTAATGGGTTTCAATTCAATGTTTTCACTGCCTCACTGCCTGAATGTAACCATCTATAACATAACTTAGTTATGTTGTTGTGACAGGTTTAGTAACTACTGGTACAGAAGATAAAGTTTCAGAAGGTTGTCAGTCTATTCAAGGGACTAGTACTCAATTAGTTAAATTACACAACCACAAAAACTACAGATTCAGCCTGAAAAAATGAGATATCCATAGAGCTTATAAACAGGCACAATCACTTTCTTTCTTGGTTGCTAGATAGAATAAAATATATTACTCTGAGTATTTTTCACTGCAAAGATCAGCAAATCACAGAGAACAGATTAGTTTATCTGTGAGCTCAAAGTTTTGTTTTGAACAAAGTTTTAACTTTATTATTTGTTTGTAAGGAATAATCCTACATAATTTAATTTCAAGGTTCTTTGTGGTATAAAGTCTATTAAGCCTCACACTTGCTGTTATGTGAGCAAGATTTAACACACTTGGAGAAAAAGATTTGAAAAGTTTGGCCAGAACAGAGAAAGAAGGATATATTTTTAAAATATGTGTATGAAACTTAAATATATAAATATAGTAAACTTCACACACTGGATTTGGTCCACCATATTACACTTTCCTTTATATTGCACTCTTTTGCATTTAAGTCATAGGTTCTTCACTGAGTAGGCCAGAACATAATCCTATACACTAAAAGGAAAAATGAAGCTACTACTGTTTCTAACACTAAACAGGGGATGTGGTTTTGCTGTATACATAAAAGCAAAACAAAGCTTTTTCATTAGCTGTGTGATCAAATGAGCTTTCATCACTCTTAGTCTATGTTAGGTCATAGACAGATTCCTTAGAGATGATGCCAAAGTGGGAGATTCCCAACATTACTTAGTGTCTCCCTTTTCAAGGCTGAGGTTTTTTGCTTGCACCTGAGGCCTCCCTAAGCCAAAGAAATTAAAAGATTTCCAACAGGACTGTGGTGCAGCGGATCTACTGATGCCCATCTCAGACAGACCCCTGTTGCTATCCACAGTTTCAGATGCTCAAGGCTTGCAAAGCACCATGAGCAGAAGTGAGCAGCAGCAGAATTTGACCTTGTCCTTTGTCTTTGTAAAATCCCCTACGACATCAGACACAAAGGACTTCAGATTTTTCTCAAACCTGTCATCTACTTACAAATTGTTTGTTATAAGGACTCCAAAACCACTTACAATACTTTTCTTCCTTACAGCAGGATTATTTTACAACATAAAATGCAAATTTTTTCCCTCCATTGTGATCAACCAGTCATGCCTGGTGGCATTGCCTCTCTCTATAAGATATAAACCTTGGTTGTGGAAAGTACATGTCAAATCATAAGGATAAGATTTTATGTGTCCAACAATTTGTGCAGATATCCATGAAACCACAATACGGAGAAAATCATGACTTTTTTTTTTTTTTCTAGTGTTATTTTCACTCAGTCAAAACACAGTAAACATGTTTTGTATTCCATGTCAGCAATATCTTAGCAAGTAAAGTCTAAGTAAACGTATTAGTTAGCAGAGATCTTTGCAAAGTGACAATTTCTATTCTAATTAAGATCTGCTGTTTTGAGAAAAAGTGGTAGGATAACGAACATACTAAAAAAATTGTTCTCTGAATGTTGACAATAATAGTCCTTTTAGAAATGTAATCACAAAATATTGAAGTACAATCCAGATGCTTTTTTCTAAGATTGAAAGAAATGCTTTTTTCTAAGACTGAGAATTAAATATTTCTAGAAACCAATACCATGAAAAGAAAATTAGCTGATGTGAAAAACAGTATGTCAACAGGATCTTTTTCTGGTATTATCCACTTCAGTCAGGCTTAGGTATGACCTTACAAAAACTTCCATAAATGCTTACAACTGTAAAGTTTATCTGCATGAGTGTAAATGGAGAGTCAACATCCAAGGCATATGAGCAATGTAAAACTGAAATTATTGGGAATTAAAACAATAAAAGAAATAAAAATAAAAAAAGAAATCTTGAATAACTAAACATATCGATATATAATACGTATATATATATATAATCAGGGAAATTAAAAGAAGTTTTCATACTTTTGTTAATTTTATGTATTTTCATTGCTGAAAATAAAAAAAAAATGGTATAAAGGAGTGAATTATTGTATCTTTATAGTCATATTTTAGCACTCAGAGTTACTTTTGGCTTCTGTTTCAAAGTCTTTCAGAAATTCAAGTTGAGAAACTAAGGTTCCTGGAAAAAAAAAAAAAAAAAGCTTATGTTGAGTTCACACAGGTAGGTTACTCTGTGCTTTAATCACATCATCAGTACTCAGAATTAAATCTGAAGTATCATGATCACAGAAAGATCCAATATTTTTTTTTTCCTTTGAATGCAGCTGATCCTCCCTCAGAACAAGCTGTGAAGGGGGAGCAGGTCTGCAGCCTATTACACTTCTGGTGCACATTGTCCCAGTCCAGTCCCACACCACGACATGGCAGAATGGCTGGGGAAGGGACCAGCAAGGTCTGCACAATGCACAGGACACTTTTAATCAGGCAGTTACTTCCATTTCACAGCCATTGAATCATGCAGATAGGTGGGCTTCCCTGAAAAGCATGCCACTGCCAGCACAACTGTAATGTGAACCAGTCCCGACTGATACAATCAAAGGAAATTGAAAGAAAACTGAACCTGACAACTCAAGCATATGCCTGGCTACCCCAGCAATACAACATCTAGTCAGAGCTGATTAATATTACACTAGCTGGCATTTTTTAATTTTATTTTTTTTTTAACATCTGGATGAAAATTGAACAACCCCCTTAAACCTTCAGACTGAAAAAACAGTGGCCTTTTCAAGCAAATTGTTACCACACGACTTTCTCCTCTTTTGAAATCCCATATGGACAGATAAGCTAAGAATAGAACAACCACATCTGACTAAGAGTCCAACATACATATTATTACCACTGTGATCGTCTCATTTCCCCTGGACTAGCATTAGGCTGGGATCCAGACACTTTGAAAACTCTGTTTTAGTTAAAGGCTAAACCTGGTTGGACAAGAAACAAACCCCGAAGCACTGCCTGTCTGAAATAGTAAATATGGGGGTATATATCAGTTTTTACTCTATATAGTCTTGGGCACTGTTAATGTCTAGATTTTGCTGTGGTTTGAGGTCTGGAATAAAATCAAGTCCCCAAACTATTGCTTACAGAGCATGAAGAGATTGATAGCATTTTCTTTTCTGAAGAATAAGTGAGATCAATAAAGAACAAGCAGAAAGGGAACAAACTGATTTGCCCAGAGATCCTGCTGACACTGTCAGGAAAGCAATCCATGTAGTACGTGTCCTGGAACAGCAGGCAGGTCCCCAAGCAGGGTGGCAGACTAAAAGCTGTTTAGACTTCAGTGTTTCTGGATGGCAGACTAAAAGCTGTTTAATTTTCATGACTTTCTCCTTAATGTGGGCAAGAAGAAATTCAGAAAGGCCAAGTGCAAATGTTTGCCCAGAGGATTATTTTGCCGTTCCTTTAGGTTTAGAGAGACCATAGGCCAAGGTTAGGAACACTGGGATTAAGGAGTCCAAGTGCAGGGGAAGCTTCAAATGCAGAAGGACTCTCAACTTCAAGGGGAATGAATCTTTCAGGATCTCCAGTAATTATTCCTCTCCATTGTAAACATACCTGCAGAAGTAGCAAGGATGAATGCTAAATAGCAGGAGATAGAAAATTTCAGTACAAAACAGAGGTGTTCAAGAAACTAAGCAAATGTATTTATTTCATCTGAAAGGAACTGCATATCTCCATATCTCACTGTTTCACTATGAATTTCTTTTCCATTTATTTTCAGTGTTAAATCCACGAAGATGCCGAGGTCCAGATTGAACCACAAAAGTACTGCATGGCTGAGGTTGGAGAGGATGTCTGGTCCAATGTCCCTGCTCAGGCAGGACCACCTAGGTCCACGTGTCCAGGACCATGCCTGGATGGTTTTTGAATACCTCCAAGGAGGAAGATTCCAACATCTCTTTGGGCCACCTGTGCCAGTGCTCCTGGCACAGGTAAATATCTGCACAGTAACGAAGTGCTTCCTGATGTTCAGACCTTCAATCATTCCTTAACACAGGACCACACACAAACATAGGCCCTTATTAGCTGGTGGACTACTTTATCTTCTTAAAACAGATTTGCCTTGTTTTGTGGTAGCTGTCATGTGACCTCTATCATCATGTTTGAGTCCTCTAGAGGTTACCTCTTTTGAAATACTACCTGAAGCTAGGATTTATCAAGTAGAAAAGTTCTCATCACATAAGGATTCCTTCACAGGCCAAAGACCTGGAGATTTCTGTAGCACAAATTGTCAAGAAGTAGGGGTATTTTTTATCACATTGTCATCTTTATATATATATCTATTTTGCAGAAAGAGGGAGCAGGCTCTCTCTCTCTCTCTTTTTCTTTCCCTCCCTCCCTCCTTCCAACCTATTATTAATTAAAAATGTAATAATAGTAAGGGTAAAGAAATAAAGAAAATTAAAAAGAAGTAAAGGAGGAACCAGAAAGGTTATATCCACCTCCTGTTAGGTTCAACTGCTCCAAGAAAAATTAGTTGCTTGCTGTAGCTGATTATAGTTGCCTATAAATATACTACCTGATTGTTTTGGCAAACAGAGAGACTACAAAGTGCAGCTATTCTCTCATCCATGGAGAAGGTGCAGGAGGATAGGTTCCTGATGTCAGATAAAAGTCTGCAAAGTAGGGGAGAAAGGAAAAGATCTAAAGAAAGAAGGTGGTGGTTTCTTTCCTGCCCCTGGTGAGTACATTTTCAGAGAGTGATGGTTGGAGGAACCTTGTTTTTTCATTCACTTCAAAATGGTCATATATTTCATCCACACAACTCTTTTCTATTTGGGTTTGTAATTTATTTGTATACATGTTCCGATACTTAATATTTAGCAAGTACCATATGAGCTGCTGTGAGGAGAATATGATTATGTGATTATTCACGTGATATATTACTATTTCAAAATGAGCTGAAACAGGTTCTCAGAGCTGGCCTTCTCAGGAGAGTATTCATGGATGTGGGCTGGAACCTGGTGTTTTGCTGAAACTCCACCTAACTGGCTTTGAATTTGCCATTGGGTAAATGTTCTTGTCAGCAGTGTTTCTCAGTGAAAGAGTCACAGAAAGACAAAATAAAAAGGGTGTGAACATACAGAAAATACAATAATTTTAAAGTGTAAATGAGTATTAGCAAACTTGAGACATCATTTACAGAGATCTCTGAACCTGTAGGCCAGGAGGGAATTCTATTATCTCATTGCTCTTACCATAATAGCATATTGCATGTCATTTGCAAACACACAAACCCCAGCAAAATACATGCTACTTCCTCTGTTATTAAAATTTCAATGGTCAGCATTCAGGAAATTTTTCTTGTCTGCCCTAGACTAATTCCAGATTGTTTTTCATTAAACATCTATCACAGCAGACAAGCCTGAAACAGTTACCTAATGCAATATTATTTTTTTTTTCCATAACAAATTAAAGGACATTAATCTTTACTCATAAAATAAATATTTCTGAAAGCTTTTGTTGAGAAACATTCCTTTTTCTGAACAGCTCCATCTGTTGTTCATTTCTGCTGTCCTGCCTGGTAGGGATCTCCCTTGACTCATGTTAACACAGCAGATGATCACCAGAGCTCATGAAATCAGTTGCTGCAAGTTGAAACACCACCACTCTGCAGAGCCTGGGCTTGGCAGGCAGTGTCTGTGTGCACACCCCAGAGTGTGCGGTTTTCAGAGACCAGCACCTGCAGAGCTCTTCACTGAGACAGTGCAAAAATAGCATCAGTAGGGGTTAACAGGGTTTGCCCTTTTTGGAGGAGGGTGGTGGGAAGCATGAGCACGTGCTGCTCAGCCTTGGAATGATTGGCTCCAGCTTGCATTGCTCTGGTTGCCTCCACTAATGGGCCTATTTGCTTAAAAGGGTTTTGAAGGCTGCCTGCTCCTGAAGGCTATCGACACTAGAGAATGGACTTTGGCAATGCTAATTAACACCTTCCGACATGATACCTTCTAGCTTGTTCTGATATCCCAGCTAGCTCTGCAAGTCTGCATGGTAATTCACCAGCTTTCTGCCTTTCTGAACACCACACACAAACTCTATGCAAATCTTTCTGCCAGCTCCTGCACAGTTGTGATTGTTGCTGTACAGGTATTTGCTGTGTAGATTACATCAGTCAAAATGCTCCATCTATATCTAATTATTCTTCCTTATCACCAATCAGGAATGCCAATTAGTATAAGGAGTAGAAAATGAACAGATAAGATCTCTGAGTGAGCAGTTTCCCAGCAATTAATAGCAGGCAAATTGCCATCTGTCAAGCACCTGTTGGTTTCCTGGTAATAAATTGTGGAATATCCGAGATACATGGCAAAGGAACAGAGAAAGAAAAAGGTAAAACAGAGGGAATATGCATGCAGATCATGTCCCAACATGGAATAGAGGTTTAAGGGGCAAAAGGAAATTAACTTTTCAGGGCTGGAACCTAGGGAGTTCCAGAAAGCTCTGTGTAGGTCGGTCCGACAAGTAGGTTGTCTTGTTTTTGCACATTGCATGAATTTGAAATGGTTGAGTCAGTGTTAAAGGTCTGGGTTACTTGTATTAGGCTCGTACTTACCCACGTACAGGCAAGGTTTGTATCACAGGTGGGACCTGTCATGTCATTGCATCAAGGTGTCCAACAAAAATATTTATGAAACAAAGAGTCATTTATGGGTGTCTTTGGGCATCTCATCAGGGCATGTTGCTGTCAAACCAAATCATTTGCCAGTGAGTAGCAGTAGGACCAAAGGATTTAGCCTGACTGCTTCTTACCTGCCCTGCAAAAAGCTCACACCTCAGTGGTCAATTCATAAAAAAATGCGTTGCCTTTGAGCCAAAACCTCATCAAAGCAAGTACTGAATGGAGTAGCAGAGTTTACTTTTCTGTCTTGTCTTACCTTATTCTTGAAGGAGCACCTGACCCATGATGACTTTGGCATAAGATTACCTTATATTTGCCAGCTGTGAACTGAGGGGCCATCCATCAATGCAAGACAAGTGGGTGAAGGATATGTAGGGTTACACTTACCATCTTTAATATTTTTTATTTTATTTTATTTATTTCAAATTCGAATACCTCATTCACCAGTCACTGGAAAAAGAAAAAAAAAAAGTGTTTGTTCCTTCAGCCAACCACTGAAACCCCAGGTCCTGTGGATGAGACTTCTTGACACTGCTTATGAGGTGCTTCCTCATTAGTAACTTGCCCAATGCATCTCTAATCCAACTATTGCTCTCTGTTAAGCAAGAACAAATCATTTTCTTACTAGAAGAGTTGGTGCCTGACTTTGGCTGCATTCAGAATTGATGAGGGATCTTTTGTGGGGCATGAAGCAAGAATATTTCACATTCATATACTCAGAGATAGATAGTAAAATGATTTTAGCTAGTGACTGATGAGCACTCTGAGCTATGGTCTCTAGCTACGGAGACTCTTTAATATAACAGTGACTCAACTATTAAGTCTCTAAAAATTAAGTGGGAAGTGCTTGTAAAGGAAGGGCAGGGATCCGTATCCTTTGACGACTCATCAGTCAACTTTAGCAACAGGTAGGCTTAACCAGAATATGTCAAGCAGGTATTGTTTTACACCCCAAGCCTCTTGAAGAAATATTTACTGCAAAAGGTGATTCACTGCATTATGCTCTAGAAATTGCTGAATAATCATCACAAATAGTTTTAAGTGCACTGCCAGAAATCAGGCACAAGAACTTGAAAGATGGGCATTGTCCAAAACAGGGAGACAGAGTTACAAAGCCCTTGCAAACAACAGGCTAACAGCAGCAACAAGGCCCAACCAAAGGAGGAAATTCCATATGACTGTCTTCAGCCCAGCACTTTTGTGAGGCAGAGGGTCCAGATCTGTCTTTATTTGTTGAGATCCCACAGGTAGCAATAGATATAGCTTCATGTTCTGTGTTAGGCCACAGAAGAAAAAAAGAGGGAATGCCTCCATCTATGCCTTACATCTTAATTCTTTGGAATGCTTGGACCTTGAAACAACATCAACATTTCACAAGGAACAGCTTCATCTCTTTCATTCATTTTCCTTGGGACTGCACTTTACAGCTCTGATATGGCAAGCATACTTCTTGCCCACTGGTATGTATTGTCCTAGAGCGAAATCAGAAGGTAAGCAATGAAAAAAGTGCCCCAAATGGCTCACTCAAAGGCACAACTGGATGGTTGCTTGGAGGCAGTTTTTATACTTTATTAAAATTTAAGCTAGTGGATAAAACCTGTTTAGTCTTCTGCTTTTTCTAGTAACACATCTATTCAAAGGTAACAAAAACTATCCAATGTTGTTTGTTATTTTCCCAGAAAAACAAAAGAAAACAAAACAAAAAACCTTCTGAGAAAATATATCCTTCACAAAGTTATTTCCCAATCATGACACACTGACACTGTATCAAATTGGAAGTATAGTTACGTATTCCAGCCAGATTTTATAATCACTCATTACTTTCCCTCATTCTGATGTAAGATACTAATTATGCTATATCTATACGCTTGTTTTCTTTATGATACAGAGCTATAGTACTAAGCTACGATTAAATGTATTAAGTCTATGTAGCTGTAGAGAACTATGTGAAAAGGTGAAAATGAAATGCATATAACATAAAGATGAGCTAAAAGGTGAATGACAATTCACAAGAAGATAGAGATAAGCAGAGGAGATGAGAAGGAAATTCATCTCCCCACCTTATGCAAATATACAAGATTTTGAAATATTTATTTCTCACTGTTCCAAGGACTAAAATCAAAATCTCAAAAATGTTAGCAAGTTGCAAATCAGAGGAAGTTATTATCTAGACCAAAACAGTTTTCTTTATATGACACACAATTTACTAAAATAACGATCTAAATCAACATATATTTTAATACAGATTTTTGCATATCTGTAACAAATTCCCCCCAAGTACCCAAGCATATTTCTCAACATGCATTTTCATCTAAGAGATAAAGATATGTTATTGTCTTCATTTTAAAGAAAAGAAAACTTGGTATGGGAAACTGTTTCAGTCTGTTTTGATATTTTTGTTGATATTTTTTATCATATATGACCTTATAAAAGTGAGAAGTCTCTAGATGTTCCCAGTACTTTAGAATATCTGAAAATTTGATGTTAGGGGCCCATTAGGATCAGCTTGACCCTAAGGTAGTCCCCTTGAAGGAGGTGATAACACAGTTAGTAAAACAAATTAATCACCTGGACTCTAAAGGTTGATGTCAGCTAGCAACCATCATGCTCTTATAGGCAACAAAAACTTTGGCTGAGTACCCAGAAGTAAATACCTCCTTCCTTGTTATTAATCATCTCAGTCTGGTAGTTTTCCAAGCACTTCATCTAATACTTGGACACATTTGTTCATCACATGAGATGGTTGGGCAGGCTTCTGTCTACCCTAATTTTTAAAAAGTAATGTCTAGATTTTAGCAAAGTGTAACATGCTAACACACAAGTTTCTGTAATATTTTAGAGTGCTTTTAGATTTTTGGTGATATAAAACCATGCTGTTTTTGAGAAAACAGCATTTTAATTACAAATATATATTTTGATGGATTTACAGTCAGTTACCATTTCAGATGTTGAAACACAGGAGATAAGCTACAAAAACAAAACAGGAGATATGGATGATGGAAATGACACAACAAAAGGATCATTTTAAGGCAGAGAAATTTACTTTGACTGACAAGGTAGTAAAAACTCAAAATGAACATTGTTCACTCAAGTGACTGGATTTAGTCATATGTTGCTAGAGGTTGCTAGAGGTTGTCTTTCCTCATCTTTGTTTGTGAAACACCTCAAATATAAAACCAGTAACATTCTAACATTGAAAAATAAATGACTAGCTTCTTAAGCCTTTTATAAAACTAAATTGCGGAGATCTGGTGACATCAAGGGACAGTGAAACAGGCAAAACTGCTAAGTTCAGGATTTTTGCTGCAGGAAATACGGCCAGGGAAATAAAGGAGCATGGCAAGGCTCCATCGGATTTGGGAAATGGACCTTATGTTTACTTTGAAGTCCTGGGAGACAGGGGGGTGGAAGATCAAGCACTAAAAACTTCCGACACTCAGTTTCACCTGAGACTTGGAATCATCAGTGATAATTTAATCAGAGAGGAATGTTAATTAAGGCTTCAGGCCCTACTTATAGACAGTAATTAATTGCATGTGTTGATTAGCATTTTGCTGTATTGAACGTGGAACAGCTTGGGTAGATCCTACCTGGAAGTGCCACGTGTAAGATAATTCAGGGCTGTTGTACTCAGGGCTGTGGACAGGCATTATGATACCTCTGATTTAAATAAGCTAGCTCTACTCCCTTGGAACTGGACCTGGATGAGCCTACTTTTTCCTGGCACATGTACTGCATGCTAAGAAGCAGGGATGCCGTATAGAAAGCAAAATAGTCCACCTCAGGTGGAGGGAAAGAAAGGGGTGATTTCTAACTGTCCATTAACAAACATTGCAATTTCGTTTGCACGTTTTAGCAAGCTGAGTTAAAAGTACACCTGTGGATGTTTGTGTGGTTTAACGATAGAGAAAAAGGCACCTGAAGTTCTTGTGATAGTGTCCTAAGGATAGTGTCCTAAGGAGTGCTCCCGTGCCCAGCCTGCCCCCACCTGTACTTTTCTCCCTGTCTTGTGGGCAATTGCTGTCAGAACAGTGAACATCTTCAGGAGGGCCACTGGCAACAAACAACCCCATTGTTTCTGTAGGGCGCATGGTCTGTGAGCCTGGTGCTTCAAGACACTTTGCAGCTGGCTCAGACAACCTGGCCATTCTGGAGTCAGCTAGATGCTACATTAGCTTAGTTGTGTTGTCCAGTTGCACCCTTCGGTTTATCTTGACTTTTTATTGAGTGCACATATCCCCGTAAATTCAAGTATTGTGTCCAGAGCACTGAGAAGAGAGATGAAGTCCTGGGTCCCAGCTCTGCTGGAGCAGTTGCCAGTCACTTTGCCTTTAGGAACACTCTTTTTTTAGTAGGGGGTAAAAGGCTTTAGGGACAATGTCTGTGTTTTTAATCATGTCTTGCAGAAGCCTATTGTAACTACCAATTGCTTGACACTTTAGAAAATCATTTGGCTTGTTAAGGTGCCTCAGGAATGAAACTTGCCAAGATTTAGACACACAGGTATTGCTATTGACTTCCAGCTAATTACTGAGGTGTAGGAACTTGAGCATGCTCTCAGGAGTTGGCAGCATTTACGACTGAACTAAAGACATCAAAATTAAATTCTTTAAAAACTTCTACCAAAGCTATAAAGGAACAAAACAAGAACTCGGCTAAAGTGAGCTACAGTTGGATCACTAATTTCAGAATAAATAAAAATCACCAAAGCTCCTTACTTCCAGTTTCAAACAAAGTATAAGCCTCTGACATTAGAGATATCAGGTTATGCTTGTGATAAATTATGTCAATCCCGTCGGTCACTGTATAATTTCAGTTTGGGAAATAATTAGCATACCATCAGTACATGTATGTCTGTTGAGGGAACATAACATTTGTAAAAACCTCTAGCAGTCCCTTTATGCATTACAACAATTAATTAAAATATACTACAGCCCAACGGTAATATTTCTTCTGCTTGAACAAACAAGTACTATTGATGCCACAAACACGTATGATCTCATGACCTTCCAGATCAGATGACAAAATCAGGGGAGTTCAGATTTAGAGAAGCAGATGAACTTTTAGACAGTTAGTGCAAGCCAGGTTGTACAATCTTGGGATTTCTTTGGTGATAATTACAGACACTAGTAGATTGTTTTATCTGCAAACAGATTATGTGCCTCAGATTCTTGTTTAGTCAATCACAACAATACAGATATGACAAAAAAAAAAAAAAAAAAGTGTAGGCAACTAACTCCAGGTTTGAATTTCTCAAGTTTGCCTATAGCAAGGGTTGTTTTTTTACCACCCACATATTGCTTTGCTTACGTGAAACAAAAATCTGACAAGCTTTCAAAAAGCTCCACCTCTGATGTTCTTGCTGTTAATCTTGTCATTGTTAACACAAAATGGCTGCTTGCCGAAGCCAACAACTGTCTTTCAGTTTATTCTGAGCCACACCTGTTTAACCACTAGTAAAGCAACTAGTTTAATAATATTAATAATAATAATAATAATAATGAACAACTGAAGTGCACATTTCATATGAATTGTTAGATATAGAAACAGAGGTTCAGCCTTTTTCCCCATTCCTTTTTCTGAAAGGGCAAACTTTCAGTATTTTTTGTTTATAGATGGTGTCATATATAAAGTTTCACATGTTTATTTTTTCTCCAGATCAACTATGGTATTTTTGTTTGTTTGTTTGTTTGTTTTCCATTGGAATGCTGGGTTGAGATTTCTGTGGAGAAATTAGACAGAAATAAGAAACTAAAGAAAATGGAATTATGTGATGGAAAGCTTTCAGAAAATTTTTACATGCAAATATGAATCAAGATTTTCTGCACATCCATGGGCCAACATGCTCAGTATTCAACATCCATTCATATACAATTTCCCCACTATTAAAACTGTTGTGAGAAACATCTCAAAACAATTTTATTCAGACAGGATCTTCTGTGAAGCTATTTTATTCGTGATTGCAACGGTTGGCATGCTGTCAATTACGAGCACATTTTTGTAAACAAATCATAACCTTTTATTCCCTATTACCTTCTGCCTGATCACCTCTCCTGTTTCCTTATTAGCCGAGTACAGCAGGTTCACAAGCTACTCAACACTCCTCTATACCATCTATGTACATTTTTTCTTTTTTTTTTTCAACCTTTTAATTCCTTCTTTCTTATGTTTTGAGAAGTTGTGATCTTTGTTTTACTGTTCTCACACTGTTCATCCTGTTTTTCTCAAGCTTCTAGCTTATTTTACCTTCTATTGTCTACTTATCTACTTAACATTTCTCCTTATTATGACTACATAACTGCCTTGGAATTATGAAAAGTAATTCTCTACTGCAGCACAACTTACTTTCTCACACTGTTATTCTAGAATCTTGAATCATGACTTGTATATATATATATATATATATATTATTTGTTTATATATATATATAAACAAAAAAAGCTGGTTTGCCCATTAACTTGCAGGTGTATTTCAGTCCTGATGTAAAGCACATATTTCTATTACCCTGACTCAAAACAAACAAATGAAAAAACAAACAACAACAACAACAACAAAAAGCATCTAAAAAAACAAGGCTATAGAGAGTAAATACCATTTCCAGTGAAGTTCAACCATGTTCTACATGTAAGTGAAATATAATGAAGCTTTGAGACGTTGTATATTAATTCTTTCTTCAAGAAAAGCCAGTGTGTGGCGTCTGATGATGAGAAATTTAGAGTTCATGACCTATAATGGATTTCCATAGGGTAAGAAAATGTCTTCACTCTTTTTACCTGCCAGGCATCAAGATCACCAATACATGCCTGTACCTCCTGACAATGTCACTCAGTTACTTAAATGAGTGAATGCCTGTTTTAAAAGGGCTACGTCTCTCTTTTTCTTTACTAGTTTGCTTCCATCTTTCCTTCAACTGCAAAATGCAACTGTTAAATTCTACCTTTGTTTCTCCTGCTGCAATTGGCAAATAAGAGCATTGAAGTGATTTCAAGAACTGCTGAGGAAATGAGTTGTTCACTATGCAGAAAATATAGGAGCAGGTAGAGCAAGTGATAGGTTCCAAGTCAGGCTCATATCTCTGTGGGAACTCAGCTGGCAAATTTTCTGTGCTTATTCCTAGGAATGTTATCCAGAGACATGCTATAATCCTGCCAATAGAAAATGAACAATGATGTGGAGATCCAGCATATACTCAGCAAAACTGGTGGAAGTTAGGTAATGCTTTGATATGCTATGGAATTAAATCACAAGCTGGAAATTAGCAGCCATGTAAACCACTATCTCATGATCATGTTGCTGAACTGCACAACCAATACACTTGTCCCTGGCCAGTGGTTTTTCCCTTTCTCTCCCTCTGCTGTCCTATAGATACAGCCTGGAGTATTGGGTCTCCGCAGTGCCTCAGCCAAACTGGGAAGACTGGGGTGGGAAATGCGGCTGCCAGTTAGACTCCTGGATCTAAAAGATCTCTTGCAGGCCTGGAGGCCTCCCGTAAATTCAGCACCCAGTATCTCCCATTTGTACACTTCCACGAAGGTCACAAAACAATTTCCTCCCATGGATTTGGCAATGCTCTTAGCACATATATACTGCAAGCTGGAGGTATGAATGTCTTCCACATGCTCAAAGCAAGTGACAAGAATAGTTTTCGTGCCTAATGCAGTATATGCACCTTTGAAGAAGTGGTATGTGATGCTGCAGTACATTCAGGGCTTCCCTCACTTGAAGAGAAATAACAGTGAGGGCCTAGATCAGGTGTCTCACTCACCTTGCTGAAGTCTGGAGGAAAATCAACCAGATCTCATCTCCTCAGATATTTTCCTGTGATCTTAGTGCAAGCAGCTGGATACTTGTCCTTTCAGCCAGCAGGCTGAACGAGACAGAGGCTTATTTTGGATGGTGGAGGAGTTTCTGGCCCCTGTGAAATAATTACACAGACTGTATCACTAGATGTTGTCGCTGTAAGGCTGTCCATAATCTGGAAGGTAAAAATAAGAGAGGAAAAATAGAAAAGGTGTGGATTAAAGTCGCATCTTGAATGTATAGCCAAGATTCAGTTTTCTGATAAAGTAACAGATGGACCTGTGGAAAGTTAAGACATCAGTGCTTGCTTGTGACAATTTTTATTATATTACTGTGAATGGGAGGCCTGAATGGCATGACGTCCTAAATGGTCTTTAACAGCTCACGGTCCATTATTAGGACAGATGAAACAGAAAGGCAGGGAGTGAGGAAGGAAGGGAGGGAACAGTAGGTAGGTAACAAATGTGATGTAAATTATGGAGAGCAGTGTAGAAAGAAAGGAGAATTTGTTGGGAGGAGGGGACTATCAATAAATATTTTTTATAAAGTGTAAGTGAGAAGTAACACAGCAGATATAAGGCAGGATAAGATATGGAACAATGCTGTGAAGTGAATACAGGTCTGGGAGTGGAAGTACCAGCTGGAGAAGAAGGAAGGGGAAAAAGAGACATATGGACAAAGGATAGAGAAAGTCTTTGTGCAGGTTGTTTACCTGAAAGGACTGAATGGAGAAGCCAGTGACCTGAAAACTTTTATTTTCCTCCACTTGACAAGTCTGTAACACTGCAGTTACATCCTCTATACCTATTTTATTGTCTTATCCAGGTCTTCTGAGCCCTGATTAATGGGCAGCCCTTTCCCACCACCCTACACCAGAAAAGCTTTCTTCCTGGCCTGTTTCAAGGAAACATTTCTGTGTGCTTTAAAGCTGCATATGTAGCTCTGGGCCCTTGACCTGAAAAGTTAATGACCTGTGGCCATTGTAGAGCACCATTACCAAAATCTGAAAGTGCCTTTTCTTTTGTCACTCAGAAGTATTTGGAGAGCCTAAATGTATAGTGCTTAACATTTGGTGTTCTTTAAGCAAAAGTTCTGTATCAGAAAATTTGGTGTATTATTTTGGTAGGTTCAGGAGCTAAAATTATAAACTTCTGAACTGTTTCAGTTTCATATCAATTTATATTACCTGGCATATTTATGGAGCTTATTCCATGATGAAATTTACAGTCAGATGCAAAGCCAATAGAGATAAACTGAGGGCACTGCAGAGTGCTGAGTACCTTGAAGATGTACAGAGCAGCAACTGATTTTACAACTGCAACTAAGAGGAGATTCATGCCTTTGGAAACCCAAAGGAGACACTAATTGCACTCTCCTGGGGAGACAGCTAACATGCTAAGCCACTTATCTTTTCTAATTATTCTTGATCCATTTGCTCATTATATATAAAACAAAACAAAACAAAACAAAACAAAACAAAAAAAAAAAAAAGCATGTCTCTACAAGGTATTGATACTTTGCTTCTGATTCTGCTCCATCATGTTCAAAAGCATGCAAATGAATTTGTCCTGTGGGACCTGTAGCCATCGTGTTTGCATCTATGTTTTTGCTGTGATTCTGGGATGTTGTCCATGGCAGCTCAGATTGAATGAAGTCTCAGGGGAGCATCTGTCCCTTTGGTTAGGCACAAGATGTTCACTGTTCACACAAGTCTGTACCCTCTGTACTCTCCAATAGGATTTTTTTCTTCTGTTCTTTGTTTGCCTCTTGTCTTCCTCTAAAGAAAGTCTTTTCAAACAAGTTGCAATAATGTTTGTTCTTTCTGCATGGAAACACATAAAAACAACTAACTGTACATACAGACAAAGTGGTCAGGTGGAAAAGGATGTATTAATAGAACTTTCTTCAAAGTTTCTTGCCAGACAGAGGCTAATTATAGATTGCATGTTTCATAAAAAAGAAGGGCAAGCTTGTATGGGAGTTGCATTCCAAAGAATATGGTACAGGTAGGTAACTCAGCCTTCCCTGTGCTTCTCCAGACTGAACCAGCTCTGAGTCACCTGTATTATACACATGTTCAGCAGGCCTTGATTATTTGTAGTGGTTGAGGAAACAGTTCTTGGGACTCTCCTGAGAGCCTGGTGAATGAAATAAGTCTGGCCTTGTTTCCAGCTTCAACATGTTGTTGCAGTAGAGGCTTCCAGCAGAGCTGGTGAAACAGTTTTTCTCCTCCCATACCCCCCAAAAAACTTCTATTTGGTGGAAAATACCACCTATATAACAAGAACTCTTGTATGTCATTCCAAGTTAATGACTGTTCTTGACACAAAGATGCAACCTGATCATTTACGGAGTGAAAAGCATTCAGTTCATAACTGCCTTTCCACGGATGACAGCTATCTCTTGAAGAGGATGTAATTTACTCTATAGGAAAATTTTGAAAACATTCAGGAAGACAAAGCTATTGTGCTGTGTGGAGTTTTGAGATGCTTAAATACATTTTATTTACGAAGGAGTGGTAAGGTAACCAATATTGCTTCAAGATTATAGAAAAAAAGAACTCTTTCATCTGAACATACCAGGTTAATTAGGTATTAGCTTGTTTCCATTTCAGACTATACATTACGAGCCAATCTTTAAAATCTTCCTTTTCTTTTTCTTGACTAAGTTCATCTGAGGAAAACGTAATTCTAAAGTTGAATGAGATACATATAGAATAAAACCCAAAACAATAAAACATACTTCTAGCTTTTTAATATTTGAGGCAAAATTTAGTTAGTATTTTAATGGCTTTTAACACTTATTTACTTTTACTACCTGTTGCTTCTACACTTGTTACTATCTGTTTCCAGAATACAATATGTTGTCATTGGATCTTTATAGCTTTCTTGCACCAGAAAAGAATGAATAACTTGGTTGAAAATTCAAAATCTTGCTATGCATTTTTATCCTTTTTAAAATTTTGACTTGGAATCTTGACTTACACAGAATAGAAAATTATATTGGTTTAGTCAAACTGAAAAGCAGAGTTTTTCATAGAAATTAATATGCTTTTCAAACATATTAAACATATTGCAGTGAACTGACTTTAGTTTTATGTGTGAATGCATATTATTTTTATGTAAATCTAACCAGCTGCTATTAGCTTCTCATGACTTGGTCTGAACCTTCATTTCAAACTTCAGTAAATTATCTGTTTACAGAGAAGAAAGTAAACATAAACAAAAATAATCAGTGCTCTGCTGTTTTCAGAGGAGCCTTGAAAATGAACCAACATGAAAATTTGTCTCTGCTTTTCACCATCTCTACCAGGAGCCCTCAGGTTATCAAAGTAATAATCATGAGGCAGCTTTCAGATCAGCAAAACTTGAAAGCTTTCCTTCCCTTGAAAAAAATAATGTTGTAGACTACAGCAAATGCACAGAGAGATGAAGAGCAATGATGATGTGCTGTTTCTGGTTGGGAACAGCACTGCCCAGCACAGTGTGCATTTGCTCAGCCTGGCCTTCATTTCTCTGCTACTGAGGTGCTGGTTCCCAGGAAAAAAGGCAGGGTTTCACTCTGATCAGTGACTAAATGTGAACTCATCTGATATCACGATCGTTGTGTTGCATTTAGCCCTGCTAATGCTGTTATGCTCAATGCTGTCTGCTTTTTAATCTCTTTACTACACTTCCTCAAAAGGCACATACCTCACTCATGAAACTTCAAATGAAACATGGACTATGGCATGGTATGTGTGCAGACAGACAGGTCTTCCTCTTACTTTCTGTGAAAATAAGCAAAAAGAGTTTCAGTAATTCTGGGGATAAAATACTCTAGCAATTTTCTTTTTAAAGGATTTTATTTGATATGTCATAAGTGGCAAGAGAAAGTAAGATATTTTTTCCAATTTCTTTTGTCTGACATAGACTTTCTTTGTCTTGACTTTCCTCGTACATACATCTCTCTGAATTTTCAAGAGAAAGATCCAAAAGAATATCAGTGTAGAAAAGGAAAAAAAAAAATAGGAAAAGGAAAAAAAAATACAAACCTTCCCCCCCCAAAACAAAACAAAACAAAACAATACAATACAAAACAAAAAAAACTATTTGTGGCCATAATGGGATAGTATTAATAATTTCATCTGTTATAGGATGTGAAATTAGCTTTGGCATTAACATAGTCACCCTTGCAGAAAACCACAGGATGTAATTCTGTGCAGTTGCTCTGGAGAAGGAAATGTTGGAAACTCTGTATCTGATCTGCCAGTGGGGCAGGTCTCCAGCAAAGAGCTCTGCAGAGAGCCAGGTGCTATGAGAGGAGATGATGTTATCATATATGGCTCCAAGAAGCTGTTGTATATTGCATGAAGGCCACAGGGAGTGTCTAGTCTTTCTCTGGATACACTGGATATTCTGCAGAGAGTACTTGTAGGAAGATACACATGCATGTTTCCTTCTGAAGGAGCAGTTACATGGTTTACAAAGTGCTTTCACTGCAGACCTCTGGAATTGTTTGTCACTGCAACAATAAGGAATGATCGCGGTCTGTTTCACCAGATTCCAGTGGACTGGTATTTTTTGCATGTACATACATAAAACAAAACAAAACAACAGCTACAACAACAAAACAAACAAACAAAACAATGGCACCCCGAAAGAAATCCCCAGGCAGCTGCTTTACAAAAACAGCTTTCTCTTTTCATCCGTGTCTCTAAAGGAGAATTGGCAGGAATATTGCTGTAGTTCATTGATTGTAACACTTTTGGCTAAGTAAAATGCAAAATTTGGCATGTAAATCTTCACTAAACTACCCAAATAACAGACATTTTTCCCAATAGTGTTAAGTAACCAGTGTTAACTACTAGATGTCAGTAGAGATAGCCTACAGTGGCTTAGCACATCTGAAATTAGGCCACAGTCTTTTGAAGCTTGAAGTTGATGAGCTAACTATTTATATCTTGTGTGAAAGTCAGGAAGATCTTCTGTGTAATAAGATTAAATAAATAAAAGTTGAAATGATAATTAGCCAGTAATTGCAAACTTTGACCAAATTCTTCCTCTGCTTGGTCAAAGAAGATGCTAGCAAGAACATTTTGAATTCTGCAACCATAATTACACTTCTGCCTTGGAAAAGTTTGCTCTTAGGAAGTAAATCCATAATTTGAGGTGAGTGTAAACTGTGGGGAAATGTTCAATGACAGTGGAAAAATGTTCATTTTTGATGGTAAAACCTGAGCTGACTGAAGTCTAGCTATATGTAGAAGACTAAATATTCTTTGGATCATAATGGGTATTTATTTGCAATAGTTGAATTAAGCCACAGTATTGAAAAGTCCTGCATCTAAAACTTAAATATAGCAGAGCATAAATATATGCCACTAGTGGAGAGATGGTGCTTCTGAAAGATCATTTTTTCAAACCTCTATTGATCAGGAAAAACAAGCATTGAATGCATTGTTCCTCTCTTTCTGATGCATTAATACACAACCAGAAATTTGGAAGGGCAAAGGGCTATATTCATCAGATAGTAGGAAAATCTCCAGTGATGACCTAAGCAGCTGCTAGTTTTCCTTGATTACACACATCAAGGGTTTCTGTTGTGTTTAACAAACTTGATTGATTAGGTAAAACAATGTCCATTTGCAGAATCATTGCTCCCAGATGGTGGCTGTTAGTGTGCACTTCATAAACCCCTTTCTTTCTCTTTTTATCCTTCATTTTCCCCCAAGATTTGTAACTAAGTTATAGAGTCATTTTGGGGAAGAATTTTGGGGAAGATTGGCTTTGGCCCCAGTGAAAAATAATACAAGGCTTACCGATATCGGCTATAGTTTGCACTGTCCAATAGATTAAAATGATATCCATTTGGAATCACGGTAATGTGAGATGAAGGGGTTCTTGAAGTAATAGGTCTTCGTGTCACTTCTATTGCCAATGCAGCATTATTCCCTGCAGTACATATTTAATAAAATGAAACTTAAGAAACTATTAGAAAGAGAGGATATGTTAGTGGTCTAATCATCACAGTCAAAATATTTGGATTCCATCACTTGACATTCTTGGCAAGGTTATGTCAAGCTGTAACCTATCTTAGATAAATAAACAGACTTCAATACATATTGAATGTACATGTATATTACATCTTCAGCTGGTGAAAATACATAGAATTCGCAATCTGGCCTTCTACCATTTTTGATATTTTTGCATTGGTTCTTTAATATCGTGTGCTAGACTTGTAAGTTAGTTGTGGTCTCCAAATAGTTCTGGTGGTGATGAGAAAAATAAAAATCCATGTACCACTGGTACACAGCAGTTTCCTCTGTTTCTTTGGCTGAAAATAGGGTTTGAGGTATGCTGTGAGTATACTAAGGAAAACTTTGAAAATATATTACTGCTACAGTCAGAGAACCTTTTTTTGGAAAGAGAAAACAATGTCTGAGATGTAGCTAAAAACTGTTAATGTACAGTGATCATACTACTTTTATAGTACTATAGTAGTATACTACTTTTTATTAGTGGATATTAACGATACTTGGGGGAGACAAATCCTTAATTCAAATTATGAATAGTTAACCTACAGAAGTTTTGCTTCTGTGAGAAAAACAAATGCACAGTCACTTGGACTAAACAAAGTTCACTGCAGTTGGGATGTTTTACCTTTAGACCTCAAAAATTTGATTTCATCAGGGAGAGTATTTTCAGTAATGGGAATAATCTGATAGTGTTTAATTCAAGGCTTGTGTGTGGGGATCAAAGCAATATACATGTATATCACTGGCTTATATTCACTCATTCTTGGATCTTTGTTTTGCTCTGTCACATGCATGGCAAAAGCATATCTAGGCATTGTGTCACCTAAGTGTGTTCCTTCATTCCCTCTTCTGTTTGTCATTCAGCAGTCTAAATACAGAATTGGACACAAACACAGAAAGCATTAGTTCAGATTTCAGGACAAAAAATAAATGTCTCAAGGAGGAAAGAAAGAAAGGAGGCTGAAGCCACTTAGCTGTACGTCACTAAGCAGTAGGTTAGATGATTTGCACCCAGGCCTGAGTGCATGTTTCAATTCACTGATGGTACCACTATAGGTGGTTTTTATACATACATGTATATGGCTTTCACCCAAGTAAAAGCCAAACTGATTCTGTGCTAATTCATGAGAGTTTGTAGCCCTTATTCAGCTATGATGAAAAGGCCCGTGTAGCTCTTTAGCATATGTTCCTGCTTATCTCAGAGTGAGAAGCGAGTATGTAGCAATGCACTTAGAGGGAGTGGCTGAAGCACAGCAGTTGTTTCTGCTATAACGTAAGCGTGAGAAGAGCACTCTGTTGAAAGCAAACTTTTGGTCCAGGATATAATCCCTTCCTTGTAGAGTGCCTTGCTGGCTGTTGACTGTCTCCCTGAGGAAGTTCCTTGGCACGCAATTGCTATAACACAAATTATCTGTAGTGCCTTGGGCTTGACTAGACTAGATAGCATCCCTGAAAACTGCACAGAGCTTTTTGCAACCTGTAGGTTTTATGAGAGAAGGGATAAGCTAGAGGAGAGCAGTAAGATTAGTCTGGATCTTCTTGCTTCTTCCTTTTACTTATACAAAGTAGAAGAAGATATTGTAGGGTTAGGCAAAAACATAGCCAGCTTCTTTCTGATATGACCTGTAGACCTTAATTTTCATAGCAAATTAACCCAGAACTCCACATACTGCATACTTTAAGAATGTTTTTCAAGAATGCCACAAATCCTGTGTAAAACATATAAATAAACAATTGATAAGGGCATGGGCATGCATCTGGATCCTGGCCTATATCTATTTATCTCCTTCCTTCACAGCTGCAGTTCAGGTTGCTAAGGAGCTTCTGCCCTAGCCCAGCCCTGGTATGGCGATGGTTTTAACATGGAAATCAGCATGGAGCTGCTTATAAGCTCCAGGCATTTCAGATCACTCTGTGGTACTGTTAGTGCAGCACCTTGGAGTCCTGATCCACTAAGCCCATACATAGGTCAACTTAGTGAGTGATATTTCTGCTACTGGGGCTAAGAAGGATGCAAAGATGCTGGTATTGTCTGGTGACAGGACTCAGGGCCTGGGACAGAGGGAATAGTTCCAGTGAGCTTGAAGGAGAAGCTTGTGCCAAGCTGACCAAGAAAGAAAAGTGAAAGAGGGAGTGCAGAAATCCATTTTTAGCAGTGATCTTACCACATTTTATAACGAGTGTCCTGGGTTTTCCTCTGAGTCATGGAGTAGTCAAAAGCTGCTTTATGCAGCGCGTGTCCTCAGCAGTCTCTGTGGAGCTTCTCTTGGCTTCAGACAGTTAAATCAGACCTCAGCACAGCATGCGTAGTGCATTCCTGTGGTCATCTCTGCATTCACGTATTGCCACAAAATATTTAACAGAGGTGCCAGCTGTCTACTGGAAGGTGCTGCAATTGTGCATATCCACCTGCTGGGATTTAGAGATGGCACCGATGAGCATTAGCCTGTTGCAGACACCAGTCACCAGAGCACAGCTCCAGTTTTCCACCTCCTAACTGTTTTTTTTTTTGCAAAGATGGAACAATTTGTTTCAACAAGGTTCTCTTTGGCTTATAGTCAAGAATGTTTTAAAGCTACAGTATGTTTCTTCTTTCATTATTTTTTTCTTACGAGGATATAACAGTGGTTTAATATTTAAACAAACAAACAAAATAAAAAGTGGGAGATTTGAATTTTTTTTTAATAAAAAATAAGTGAGAGTTCTTTTGTTAATGAACATATTTGAGGTTATTTACATCTACGGATAGGCAAGTTGCTGATCTCTAATTGGCTGTGCTGCTAAAATAAGCACACAGAGTTCTACACTGCAGTGGTAAATAAATAATAACGTTCAAAACTGAAGCTGATCATTCTTTAAATAGGCACAAGTGGCCTGCGTGCTGTGTAGCAGCTGTCTGGGTTTCAGGCTTGTTTTCAGCTTGTAATGGGAGGGGGTAAGTGGTCTGCTGCATTCAGGGAACTCTGACCCTGGAAATAGGACAACATTTTCACATGAAACATGAACAGCCTTATGCAGTGCTCACTGGAGGGTGTTTCTTCAGCTTTCTCATATGTGTCATGCCTTGGAAGAGAATTAACTAGTTAAACATGAGAGAACACAACCCCTTTCAAAATTCCTTATTTCCTCTTCATTCCATGGCCTTCAAAAAAGTGCTTCAATTTTGTATCTATCTTTGGTGAGGAAATGCCTAAAAACGTATCCAAGATAGCAAAATCAGGGAAAGGCTGTTTCCTTTCCACAAGGCCCTCCTCCCTTCAGGTTATGTAGTTCTTAAAATGAGCTACTGAAGCTTCCTTGCAGGCTTTGGTGTCTCTGATAACAGGGGAGCTTCTGTATAGCAGATTTTGTGTTCCTGCAGTCTTGAAACATGTAAACCAATTGCTTTTTTTCTACATGGAACTGACTGCAGCTTCAGGGCGGGAGAGGTGAAGGGAAATTTTTCAAGGTCTCTCTGAACCATGCACCATGAGGCCCCCTGCCTTTGGATATGGATTGGACTACATTGGTTGCCATCAAAACAGGGGGCAGCAGGTGAAAACTTCTACTGGAGGGAGAAAATCAGGCGTGGTGCTTGAGAGCCGTAGGTGATTACCTCATGTACTTTCAGCCATTTAGAACAAATGGCGTCTCTGATGATTGATGATACAGTGATAAGGTGCCGTGAACAAACAAGGTTTCTGTTTACTCTGTAGAAAGAACCAATGCTGCAGTGTAAATGTAAGAAAATAAGGTATGTATTTATACTGGCTTACTACTTAAATATTTGGTGGCACATATAATAAAATCTCTTTTCCTAGAGCTGTGAAGCTTGACATGTATATTTGTTTGAACTTTTGGGACATTTCTACCATAATCCCTCAAAACAATGCAAGCACATTCAAAAGATTATGACTGCCCTGATTGGTGGAGTTATTCAGAGTTTAAACAGGAACAACAACAACAACAAAAAAATCTGTTTTGCAATCCCATATTGTAAGGATTGTTTCTGCAGGGGTGTGTGTGGGGGGGTGAAGGATAAAGAAAAGTGCTGAGTCTCAAAACTGTTCAATACGTACTTGAACGCAAGAATAATGGACATTCAGGAAGCAGCTTTTCTCCAGGGGTGTGGTTTTCTTAAAAGCTGTGTGATTTCTCATCAATTATTCACAGGCCTGAGATCAACATTGAAGTGTCCTGTGACACAGCAGTGGGGAAGGAACTGCTTTAAAAATAGCATCCAGTATCTTTGGAAGCTGTCCAGGACCAGCCCTTGAGTTGGCTGTATATTTTTAAAACATAACATATTTCTTCAAGTGAGGAATCATAGCTACTGCATGTGGGTTGGGGTTTTATTTTATGGATTTTTTTTTTTTGGTGGTGGTGTTTTTGTTTCTTTATTTAATTATTTATTTTGCAGAATCCCACTTTGGTTTAGGGTTTCCACTGGGGATAACTACTCTGACTTTGAAAGCCACAAGCTGTTCTGAAAGAATTGGATGCAGGCAGGGCATGGGAGAACAGAATCACAGAATCACAGAATCACAGAATTTCTAGGTTGGAAGAGACCTCAAGATCATCGAGTCCAACCTCTGACCTAACGTTAACAGTCCCCACTAAACCATATCCCTAAGCTCTACATCTAAATGTCTTTTAAAGACCTGCAGGGATGATGACTCCACCACTTCCCTGGGCAGCCCGTTCCAATGTCTAACAACCCTTTCGGTAAAGAAGTTCTTCCTAAAATCTAACCTAAAACTCCCCTGGTGCAACTTAAGCCCATTCTCCCTCGTCCTGTCACCAGGCACATGGGAGAATAGACCAATCCCCACCTCGCTACAGCCTCCTTTAAGGTATCTGTAAAGAGCAATAAGGTCGCTCCTGAGCCTCCTCTTCTCCAGGCTGAACAAGCCCAGCTCCTTCAGCCGCTCCTCGTAGGACTTGTTCTCCAGGCCCCTCACCAGCTTCGTCGCCCTTCTCTGGACCCGCTCAAGCACCTCGGTGTCCTTCTTGTAGCGAGGGGCCCAAAACTGAACACAGTACTCAAGGTGTGGCCTCACCAGAGCCAAGTACAGGGGGACGATCACCTCCTTAGCCCTGCTGATGTGAGTACATCCTGGGCAGAATCAACAATGCCTTTGCATTTGCAAACCAGCTTCCAGAAAACAGAATTCCCAGGACAGAAGGGTCCTGCAATTCCTTTTACCAAGTAAAGAGATCTGGTGAGGTTTTGTCTTTGTACAGAGGGATTAAAATGTGGAATCACATCTTTGTTGTATCTTCTTGCTGGGAGATTTCCAAAAGCTGTGGGAATATGTCACACTAACCAAGCATGCAGAAGCACCAGGAGCCTGCATACACACTAGGAAAGATGATAAATTACCTGAAGCAAAGCTTTGTTTTACACTGTAGAATAGATAGTCCAGCAAAGCCAATGCACTAAGACAGTAGAAAATAAAACCTTTACCCACTACATTCCATAGAACCAACAGATGTGGATTAGAGAAACAGAAGGCTACCAAAATGGTTATTTTAGTTACATTCCTCTGTTTTCAATGGTCATAAGGTTTTGGTTTGTTTGTTTGTTATGTTTTGTTTTTCAAGGAGAATTGATATATTTTTATTTTTACCGTTTTTGTTCATTGTTAGAGTAATAACTTAAAGGTTGTCCCTTTTCTGAAATTTTTAAGAGGCAATTGATCAGAAAGCAGGCTAAACCTTTTCAAGAAAGTCAGCATATTTTTTTAAGTGAAAAACCTGGAAGGTGTCCATTTTTTTCCCCTTCCAAATTTTTGCTGAAATCTTACCAAAGAGTTTTAGTATGGTTCATAGACTCATTTAATTTCTTCTTTCTGTTCAAAATACTATACTTTAAATATACTACAATATATATACACACAATAACTACATTCTTGTAAAATAATAGAAAATTAACAGAAACAAAGGGGGGGTGCATTGTTGAAGAATAGCTGTTTGCTTATTCTTTAAAGAATAAGATAAAAGAAATACAACAAACAGAGTTCTGTTGAAACTATTTTCTCTCTCTCTCTTTTTTTTTTTTTCTCTAAAAAATGAAATATGTTTATGGAAAAGGTTTTTGTTTGTTTGTTTGTTTGTTTGTTTTTGTTTTTGTTTTCTCCTCCAAAACATGGCATCCATTGAGAGTAACCTGAAACCATTACTCCATTTTTATGAGGGGAGGGGAGTCTAAATGTAGTTCTTTTTTGCCACCAGGGATTATTCTGCCTTCAGATTCATGTTTGAATCATGTTTTGAGTTGGATCAGAGTAAATATAACTTATCAGTCCACCTGATAGGAAGAGAAAAACAAAAGGATTAATTCACTGAAACGGGAAGATAAAGCTATGCTATGGGGAAGCACACCAGTGTGTGTATATGTTTGTGTGGGGAGAAACGGGCTGACTGGTTTTAATGAGTTTTTTCATTGCTCATTGCAACAGTTTGGGAAAGGCTGTTAAATCTGAAATTACCTATTGCTTCCTACCTGAAAAGACAACTGAGAGACATAATTGCAAAATACACAGCTGAAGAAGGATGATGTGTCAGCAGGCTGACACAGTGTGACGTGGGTGAATGATGTCACAGCATTATAGCTGCTTCCCACAGCTGGGATCAGGTATATTGCATGGGAAAATGCCAGTGGAGAACTCCTTCTTTCCTCCTTTAACCCCATTTCATAGATCCCATGTGAACAGAGTGGGTCTAGAAATTTCACTGCCCTAGACAGAAACCTGCCTGCATTCAGAGTGTAATCAGCAGTCTGCTGAAGAAACCTATGGGTTTTACTGGGCTTCAGGTCTGGCTGATGGAGAGTTTGTAGAACAAAACAAAACAAAACAAAACAAAACAAGGAAAATTTTAAACTTCTAAAGCATTTCTCATACTACAGACAGTTAACCACAACGTGTTTAAATAATTGATCCATCTACAGCCAAATCTGTGCTCATTAACTTAACTCAAACTCAATTATGAGTTCTAGCTTTGGAGTTACTTTCTCCACTTTTAACAGGTATCTTGGATGAAGCTGGTATTGCATCCAGCAACAAGAGGAGGCTCACTATAGAGGAACCTGTCTGAAGTGATTTTTTAACAGCACAACAAATAGGGCAGAAATGCTGCATCAGGCACAGCTCTTAGGAGTGGTGTTCCTCTCAATTTTTTTGGCCCCATTTTGAGTTTTGCATGAAGAGAACACTTAATCCTGCTGGAAAAGGACTGTAAGGGTTGCAACACACAGCTACAGCTTTCATTGTGTAAAAGAAAACTTGCTCTGAGGCATAAAAAGGAAACTAAATTCAAATGGATTTTGTGGGGTTACCTACGCCTAAACTGCTGTAACAGAAAGTGAAAATTGCTACTGTGAGCTTTTCATCCTCTCATGTAAAAATAGTCTGCCTACATCTCCTTATGTGGAGGGCAAGATACTTTATAAATGTCTTATGAATCCATTTCCTAAATGTCAGTCAGCCTAAATCCCTATTGCACCAAGCACAGCTC